GTTCGAAACCACCCGCGGCTCAGCAGGAGAAAGACAGGGCTTTCTACTCCTGTAAACAGTTACAGTCTTGAAAGCCACAGGAGGTCACCGTGAGTCCACACCGACTCGTGGCAGTGATCACGTACCTCTACTTTCTAGCATCGGAGAAAGGCAAGGGAGAAAAATCCTTTGAAAATGTCATCAAACAAACAAATATGAATATATATCGAGGGTTCAGGAGGGTGGCAGGGGAGGGAGGGGATAAGGGGAGCTGATATCAAGGAGTTCAAGAAGAAAATGTATTGACAATAACGAAGGCAGCAATTATACAATTATGCTGGATCTCATGGAACTATGGATTGTAATCATATCTGAAAGGGCTCCTAATAAAATGTTTGTTTGTTTAAATGTCACCGAACACTGTTAAAATCATGCACGCCCAGCATGAAAAACCAACGCCCTGCCCTGCTTTCTCCCCAGCCCCACAAGCCCCGGTGCCCAGGGCGACTCCTGCAGAAACAAGCACTGACCCTCTGAAAAGAACACCTGTCTGTGGGACACTGCGTGCCAGGACAGAAGTGGGCTGTCCCCAGTCAACCCACCCCTCTGGCTCACGGCGGCCCTGCAGGACAGGAGAATGGTCCTGTGGGGTTTCCAAGACGGTCACTCTTAACAGGAGCAGACAGACATGTTTCTCCTGCCGTGGGTGGACGTAAGCTGTTGGTGAGCAGCCGAGGACCTCCTCGGTGCCCCATCAGGCCCCTTCCATCAGGGAGGCAGCCAAGAGCCTCTGGGGAGCAGTTCCCCGCTGCCACATGGAGTGGCTCTCAGTCAGAACGGACTCCAGGACAGCCAACCGCATCGGGAGGAAGCAGGCAAGAGCAGGGCCTGCTCTGGATCACCCAGTTCCTGAGGGGAAGTGATGGCAAGTCTGAGTTTCACCAGTGAGCAGGAAGAGACGGGCCCCCTGGAAGGCTGGGGAGGCGCTGATACGGACAATGTCACTGGCCTACGTGGCCCATGGGCCAGACACGTCCCACCCCTGTCGAGACCCTGGCTTTGGAGTGCACCATGGTTTTCCTCCGCTCTTGCATCTTTATAATACATCATCTCATGGGGGGCTCTCACAGCTCTTACAGCATCACAGTCATCCACTGTGTCAAGCACATTTGTACTTAGGTTGCCACCATCCTTTTCAAACCATTTTCTTTCTACTCGAGCCCTTGTATCAGCTCCTCTTTTTTCCCTCCCTCCCCCCTCCCAGTCTCATGACCCCTTGATAAATTATACGTGATTATTGTTTTCCTATCTTACACAGTCCACTGTCTCCCTTCCCCCATGTTTCTGTTGTTCGCTGCTTGGGGGGTGGTTACATGTTTTTCCCAATAGCTTTCCAGTACTTTCCTTCCTCCACAGCTTCCTCCACAAGCCTTCCCTGACCTGTGCTAGCAAGGAATTTTTCTGGAACTGAGTCAAATTCGTTCCATTGGAAAAACCCTTCCTTCTTGAAGTCACGTCTCTGGGTGCCCCTCTCTTGTGAGCCTGCAGCCTCCCATCACCGGGTGTTCAGTTTCCCAGTGTGCCCTCAGGCTGTGGAGGGAAGGGGTGTCTTACTGTCTGTCTCTGTGGCCCCTGTCCCTCCACTTGCAGCCTGGGTGAGTGTGGCCGCAAGGCTTCCTTTCTCTCTTAAATGTATCTGTGCTCAGTGTACAAGCTGGGGGAACGTCCCCTTCTCTTTTCATTCCATAATCCCATGGACTCTCGAAGCCCCTCAGAGCATGTGAACACGGGGCCACCACGTCAACAACAGTCTCCACGCACTTCCGTGGCATGCCTTCTATCACCCGGTTCAGCAGCCACCACTCCTCCGACTTCCCGATGCTTCCTCTGCCCTCCACAGCAGCTCAGGGTCCCCTGAGGGTTCCTTTCTGTTGATGATTAAAAACTTTACACTGTAGACATACCCATCCCGGGGCATGTCCACGAGCACAGGTTTCGTGTCTTGGTGAGTCTCTGGCTTGTTTTTACATGACCTTGCTGTACCCACCAAACCACCAGAGAAGCTGGATGTGTCAGGTACACAGTCTGTCAACTTGAGAAGGGGTGGAGCCTAGCCTGTCAATCAGGGCCCAGCCAATGAGGCCTCTGGGTGGGCATGGCCTTCTCCAGAGGATTCTGGGAACTCCTGCCTTCCCCACTGGAGGTAGGACACACATGCTTGCTGTGAGACATTCTTGTTGACAAGCCAGATGGAGCTACACTGAGGGAGCCAGAGTCCTGGAGCTGGAGGAACCACGCCAGCGCTGAGATGCTTCCACCACTACTGGATCTACAAGATCTACATCCCACTGGCCTGTCATCTTCCTGCATTCGGCATTATTACATGTACTTTGTGAGTCTGAAGAGAAATTTACAGATTGGTATCAGACATATGGACTAATATCAGCCTGTGGGCTAATACCGGCCTTATGGATTGATCTGGACTGGGTTGGGATATTTTCTTAATATACAATTGCTCTTTTATATAAAGCTCTTTCTCACACACATTGAGTGTCTATGAATTTGTTTCTCTAGTCAACCTGGACGGACACACTGAATTATATGACAAAGAATATGCCATCAGCCATCACAAGGATGGATATATAGGCCACAACCCAGAAGGATGGAAAACAGAAATGTGGGTGGAGGGAGACAATGGACAGTGTAAGACACGGAATAACAACAATAATATATGATTGATCAAGGATTCACGAGAGTGAGAGGGGAGGGGAGGGAGGGGGAAAAAAGAGGAGCTGATACCAAGGGTTCAAAGAGAAATAAAATGTTTTGAAATGATAGCAACATATGTACAAGTGTGCTTAATACAATTGAACGATGGATTGTCATAAGACTTGTAAGAACCTCCCAAAAATGATTTAAAAAAAGAGAAAAGAATATGGTATCAGGGCTGGAGGAAGGCTTACTAGCAACCTCTGGTATGCAGATGACACAACCTGGCTTGCAGAAAGTGAGGAGGACTTGAAGCTCAGGCTGACGAAGATCAAGGAGTGCAGCTTTCAGTCTGGATGACAACTCAGTGTCCAGAAGACCCAGACCCGCACCACCGGGCCAACAGATAACATCATGATGAATGGAGAGAAGGTTACCATTGTCAAGGATTTTGTCTTTCACGGATCCGCAATCAATGCTCTTGGAAGCAGCAGTCAAGAGATCAAAAGACATGTTGCATTGGGTCAATCCTCTTTAGAGGATTGAAAAGCAAGGGTGTTACTTTGAGGACTCAGGTGAGCCTGACCCCAGCCAAGGTATTTTCAATAGCCTCCTGTGCATGTGGAAGTTGGAGACTGAATGAGGAAGACTGAAGCAAAACAGATGCATTTGAATTATGGTGATGGTGGAGAATATGGACAGTACCGCAGACTGCTAAAAGGATAAACTGATCTGTCTTAGAAGAAATGCAGCCAGAGTGCTCCTCAGAGCAGCAGTTCTCAACCTGTGGGGGTCGAACGACCCTTTCACAGGGGTTGCCCGATTCATAACACTAGCAAAATTATAGTTATGAAGTAGTAATGAAAATAATTTTATGGTTGGGGGTCACCACCACATGGCATTAGGAGGGTTGAGAACCACTGCCTTAGAGGCAAGAATGGCGAGATTTCATCTCACATGCTTGGAACTTGTTGTCAGGAGAGACCAGTCCCTGGAGAAGGACATTGTGCCGGGTAAAGCAGAGGGGCGGTGAGAAGAGGAAGGTCCTCAAGGAGATGGTCTGGCCCGGGGGCTGCAACAGTGGGATCAGTTGTTTGTGATGATGGCGCTGGTCCAAGTGGCGCTTGGTTCTATTGTACACGGGGCCATTATGAGTCAGAACTGACTCACAACAACAATTCACCCATACAAAAAGCCCTGGTGTCATGATGGTTATGTGTTGGGCTGCTAACTGCAAGGTCAGCAGTTTGAAACCAGCAGTGACCCTGCAGGAGAAAGATGAGGCTTTCTACGCTCCTAAAGAGTGACAATCTCCCAACTATGTGGACACCTGCCCCTCTCCCCAGAAGAATTTAATTCAGAGGACAACACTGAATCTGCAGCTCTGGGAGAGGGACATATCTGACTGGAGCACACAAGAGCAGATGAAGGGGGAGGAGGAGAGAGTGGAGCACATCCTCCAGGCCTTGAGGACGATGTTCCTGCTCAGAGCAGCCAGTCCACAGAGAAGACCATATGGCCGGCCCCACT